GCTAAAAGCCACTACCATTGGTGGAACCAAGGACAGCTTAAGTTTGGAGAAAACTACCCTGTTTTCTTTAAAAATTAAAAAACAAACTGTATAAAGAAAGAAAAGGAATTGCCCAGGTCATTATGTCCTTAAAGGTTTTTTCCCAACCCTGACTTAGAAGATAGTCATCAACATGTATGTACTTTTTCATAGAAATATTAATATAGATGTTACTTTTTTACATCAAGATATTAATGTACATATGAGACTTATTTGAATTTGCTTCACAGCTAGGTAATTTAGTTTTTCAAAAAGAATGAAAGGCTAATTATTAGGCAATAATATGATCAAATTACCAAAAGCTTCAAGGTGGTTCTATTTCAGTTCTCTGCCTGATGTGTATTTAAAAATATCTCTACTTAGGGTAGTTACTGTTCATAATACATTATGGAATCTTTTTAGGTAACAGCTTGGATGATAAAGAAGCCATTATCCTTGATTTGGAGTGTTTAACCCAAGTTGAATTTATGACAGATTGAAAATTAGCTGTAGTGTTATATACCTTGCTTCCTGTTCTGTGCAATTTGATATGTGTGTGGGCCAAATGTCCAGCAGGGGTTATAAGAATATGTTACTGATGGATGGAAAAGCTGTTTCATAGTTCCCTAAGAGAATATACATGATAACATCTGCAATGAGGGAATAGCCTTGAAGTTTTGCTTTGGGAGAGATTTAGCCTATGGCTAACGGTAATACAGTGAAATCTGTTTTAAATCCTTCAGAAGAGGAAAATGTGGAATCTGCTTCTTTAATTTTCAAGCTTTTATGCAGCTGACCAATTTAGGAAGGAGACCTTATTAGTGCTTTTATTTTCAGAGCATACAAGAGGTTATACTACTACCTTAATTTCTAAAATACCAAGAATTGAGTGCATATCTACCTTGCCTACCTCCCCCACTTCATTTCCCTTTACCTAAGAATTATGTGCAGGAAGACCTTGTTTTCCACATGTATTGCATTTAAGACTTTGCCCTCATCCCTAGTCTTATTAGAGGATTTCACACCATAATGTTGATTAATTAAAAATTTCTTAAACAGTGGATTAGAGATGGCTCTGTAGAAGTGGAGTGAAACCTAATATACAGGATTTCTTATTTAAGTACAGCCCAGGTGATAAATCATTACTGTGCAGTCGTCCCTGACCAAAGAGGCAGATTTTTCTTGTGGGCCTGTGTCTCTCACCACTGGCACTAGCCAGTTTGGGGGTAGTCATGTGTAAAACCAGACACAGACTGAAACTTGTGTGGACATCTTTATCTGTACAGATAGTTCTAATAAATTACAACTGCATCTTCCAAAGAGATTTTTATACTCAGTAATACCTAAGGAACTCCAGAACAAGTCTTTCAAATAGCCTTAAAATGATTCCTTTCAAAAGGTATTGAGTCCAGTTGTTCTGATGGGAAAGAGCTTCTGAAAAAGATTAGTCTGTCAGTGTTTTCCGAATTTTCATAATATATTAGCCATAAAGCAAAACAACGCCCTTTATTTTCTACCCTTTAGATACAGAGTTTTCCAGCTGAGGTTGCACTTCTGAATTACCTGTGGAACAATGCTTATACCCACTACTAGAAATTCTGGTTTGGAAGGTTTGAAGTGATGTCACTGTATCTGTTCTTTAAAGTTTTAGAGGTGTTTCTGATAGACACACTTTCAGTTGAGTACCACTACCAGTTACCATTACCAGCTTACATTTGAATTTGTACCACACATATTCTGTATAATATGGAGACAGGTTTCATTTATAGTGGTTCTATGACTTTACAAAGAAAAACCTGTAAGATAGCTAGAAGGAAATCCTAGCTATAATCAGGATTATAGATTTAAAAGAGAACGAGTCTAGGAACTTCCCTGGTGGTCCAGTGGTTAAGACTCTGCTTCTACCCGGTGGTGGGGGGCGGGAAGCGGGGGGCGCAGGTTCCATCCCTGGTTGGGTAACAAAGATCCCACATGCTGGACAGCATAGCCAAAAAGAAAAAAAGAGAGAGAGAGAGAACCAGTTTCCTTCTCTTTATGGATGAGAAAGAGCAGAGAGGTGAAAGAATTTTCAGAGTTGGTAGCAGAACCAAATCCACAACTCTGACTCGAGTTCTTTGTACACTAGCATCTTGGACCTAGTCCATCTTTGAGAAAAGTCTTCAAGGCCAAAGCTCAGTAATCCAGAAGTTGTCTTGAGCATCCCAAAGCCCAATGGGGTATTATGAGATTCAAAGTATTTAATAAAAGGAGCAATATTACAGCCAGCAGGAACTCCTCACATCTTTGAAATTTCTAGGCGGGAGTTACGAGTGACATTACTCACAGTTAGAAATTATAGACATCACCCAGAAAGCTTTTGTGGCTAAAAGAAGCTTTACAAAGGTAAACATGGAAATTTCTGACAAGAGATGTAGATTTGGTACTAAAGATTGTCAAGAACAAGATGACCATCTGTCTTATTTTTAAATTGATCCTTAAGTATTGGCAGCAAGTCTAGAAAATCATGCCAGTTTCATATTTCTATACAGGCCTGACTTTTAGCTTGTACTTCAGAAGGAAGATATTGTCCCTAGGTTTGCAATTTAACTAAATAAAGGAGTAGTATGTTTATTAATTAGGATTAGACTTGGTTGTTAAAAAGAATTCCAAAGAACAGTAGTTCAATCAAGGTAGAGATTGATTTTTCTTCTGGATTAAAAAAGTCCAGAGGGAAGGGAAGCCTTTCATTGGTGTGGTTGCTTCCCAGCCATCAGGAATGGGTTCTTCTAATTTTGTTTCATCCGTATCTTAAATCTTCAAGGAGTCTGATAGTTCTAGATGGCTTTTGGAGCTTCAGTCATCTCAAAGGCACACACCTCCAACTTGAGTCAGCTCCCTTAAAGAACTTCTCTAGAACCACCCTATCTAACAATTTCTGCTTACATCTCACTTGCCGTTCCTATTATCAAGGGAGACTAGAAGGTTATAACTAGGCGAGTTGCTGTTCATAAGAATTAGATATTTTGTTGTTAACAAAGAAAGAGGGAATGGATATTGGGCAGGCAACCAACAGATCTGTCCCACCTATTTTGTAGAATATAATATTAGGAAAATCAATTTTCATCACATCAAAAACTATTATATAGGATGTAGCATTTAAAAGATCTCCAAACCACAGTCTACAATGTGTCTGATTAATCAAAGCAGTAAATCTGTATGGTAGTGTTCTGCTTTGGATTTCTCAGCAGGACTCATTGGGAACAGCTGTTAGGTTTTATATATTTTAAATGAACTGAAGATGAGTTCTTCAAACAACAGGGAGAAAAAGACAAATTCTGTTTCCTTTTGGGGAAAGGGAGAATCAAAACAAGCACAGGGCAATTCAGTGGATATTTATGGGGCTAGCCGGAGCAGAGTATACTATAGTAGACGGTATGAGCCAGGAATGACCTGATAGAAACACTGAAAAAGAAGTTGTCTAGTATTTAAATGGAATAAAACAGAGTGATGCAGCACACAAAATAATTATAGACACATATCGTAGCAATGATTCGTACCAGTTCCAAATATACAAGACCTGTGCTGGAGAGAAGGACGAGCATATTGATTGGGTTAAAGTTTTAAGGATTAGATATTGTCTCAGTTCCTTTGGGCTGCTGTAACACAACACAGAGTGACTCATAAACTCAGAAAATTTTTTTTCCTCAGTTCCAGAAGCTAGAAGTCCAGGATCACGATGTCAGTGTGGTCAAGTTCTGCTGAAGGCCCTCATCTGGGTTGCAGACTGCTAACTTCCTGCTGTGTCCTCACATGGCTGCAGGGGCTAGGGAGTTCTGTGGGGTCTCTTTCTTAAAGGCACTAATCCCACTCATGAAGGCCTTGCTTTCATGATCTCACCTCCCGGAGGCCCACACCTCTTAAAGTAATCACACTGGGCATTGGGTTTTCAACATATGAGTTTTGGGAAGGGGCCACAGATGTTCAGATCATAGCAGATATAATTACCTCTGCCAGTTTCCTACCTGTACAAATGAAAAGAGAATGTCAAGATGGAGAGAACCTTGTCATCTGAAAAACTCACAGGCAGGAGCATGCGGCAACCTGCAGCATTTACAGCTGTAGACCACGGTATACATAAGTGTATTAAGGGGGAAGTGTTCCCACTCAAAGGGCCAGATTTTTTAAAGCTCTGTAGTCTCATTCATACCCACAGTTCACATGGTGCCATTTAGCACATATTTATTGATGTCTCATTTACAATACACTTTAAGAAGGAAATTCATTCACAAGTTGCCACTTAGATGAAAAAGTCTAAATTTTGGCTTCTTATAACTATGAATTTCAAATCTGGGGAAAGCCCAGCCTTGTATTTTTATTCCTTTTCCTTTCATAATTACTTATCAGTAACCAAACCCAATCTGTTGACTTTGCTCCTACTGAGAAAAAAACAGGAAGCTACAGAAACTCCCTAGGAGAAAAAGACCAGGCTGCGCCCTCTGTCACCTCACCCCTTCAATCCGAGTCCTCCTCGGAGCAGCAGTCACAAACAGCTCTATCTCCGTGTGGTTTTGGCAGTAAGCACAGAGTACAGATGAAACCAGCTAGTGCAGCAAGGTGTGTGTGCCTGGCCTTTGAGCTCATGAGTCATCTTTTTGAAAATTGTGATTGTATACTTTTGGGCATCCTTGGTAGAGAATAGTTTATGCTCCAGTCCAGCAGTGGACCACGGACTATTCTCTGTCTTACGTAGTAATGGGAATGCCTTTGATATGAAATAACTACTTTATTTTGAACATATTGTGCAATGACTTAGCCTTTCCCACACATTACCAGTTCCTTTTGAAGCTGTCATGCTCAGTTTAGGTTCTCCGGTAGGAGCTATGAAAGAAAACAAAAATCTCACAAATTGTATTTCCTTTTTATCTGCTTCATGCTGATGCAGCTGTGTCATATTTTGGTCTTTGTGTCCCTCCCTCTGCACCCCATTTTCCCTCTGCTTTCAGGTGAAGGTCTCCCACAGGTGTATTACTTTGGACCATGTGGGAAGTACAATGCCATGGTGCTGGAGCTTCTCGGCCCTAGCTTGGAGGACTTGTTTGACCTCTGTGACCGGACCTTTACTTTGAAGACTGTGTTAATGATAGCCATTCAGTTGGTAAGTTGGCGTTGCTCTTCTGGCTAGGGATAGACAGGGAGGGGCAGGTCTCCTAACTACATCCTTGTGTCTGTTGGCATTTACCAGCTCTAGTGACACCTTGTGAATGTACATTCATTAGCTTGGTGGTGTTGTAGACAGCTGGCTGGGGCAAAAAGGGTTAACCCCGAGAAGCCACACTGTATTTGCCATTTGCTCTATTTTAAGAATTTGCACCTTGGAGCAATACTCTGCCCTTAACTGAAGTGCAAGTGGTATATAGGGAGAAAGAGGATGATTCGGTGACAATTGCTCAAATGCAAGTAACTTCTTGGTTGTTTTATTTATAGGTTTTAAACACATGACTGTAAAGTTTTGTCATGTCCTCCCTCTTTGCTTACCATTGCATCCAAGAAGAGATGGAAGATATAACCCACTGCCCTAAAATCAGATTTCAGAGTTGACCAAGAACCTGCCTTAGTTCTCTGGCCTCTAGTTCTCACAGAGACCAACACAGCTAAAGCTGTGTCTCTCAGCACCTACCAAATCCCACACCAATACCAGTTTAAGGAACAGTTAAGACAGCTGCTTTGAGAAGTTTGTCAGCCCCTCCACCCAAGGATGTAGGTGCGTCTCTGTGGGTCTGAAATGGTGATGGTCTCACCCACTTTAAAGACTTGGAAATGTTAGAAAACTGATCTTGACTTTAGAGTCAAAAGTTCAAATGCTCAACCTCCCTTTCTATACTAAGCAGAAACGATTTAAAGGTAGAAATGAACTTAATGAAATTTGATAAAAGTTTTTATTTTGGGTTATGTTTACTTTCTCATAAAAACTATACTCCTACCTCTGCCATTAGTTAGCTCTGTGATATTAGTCCAGTCAACTTCTCTGGGCCTCACTTTCCTTATTTCTGCAACAATGAGACTGAGTATAGGAAGTTGTGGGCAGGAGCTGAAGGAGGCAGCAGCATCTGTCTTCAGAGGCCACCACCATATTCTTATTTCCTGCCTGGGAGTAATTCTTGCCTCTCAAATGCTTTCCTTCTGCAGTAACATAAAAACGTTAATTCTGTTCATCATTTGCAAGTTGTTACGTGAAGTGAAACTGTATACTATCATTTTAGCTGAACCACACTATCCTTTTCTCTTTTATCTTCATATTTGTCATGTATGTATTAGTATCAGAAAGTATGTTCTGATTCACAAGAATAAAGTGACTCTGAGTGGTGAAGAAATAAGTTTTATTTTAATTTAAGTAATTAAGTAATTATAACTTTGAGCTGATAAAAGAAAACATTTTGAAGTATTTTTATAATAAACTTCCTCAGAGTAGTATTTGTATCACTGTCATTCTTTCTTTTAGCTTTCCCGAATGGAGTATGTCCACTCAAAGAATCTCATCTACCGAGATGTCAAGCCAGAGAACTTCCTGATTGGTCGACAAGGCAATAAGAAAGAGCATGTTATACACATTATAGACTTTGGACTGGCCAAGGAATACATTGACCCTGAAACCAAAAAACATATACCTTATAGGGAACACAAAAGTTTAACTGGAACAGCAAGATACATGTCTATCAACACGCATCTTGGCAAAGGTGTGTTTATTTTCAGCTCCAAGAAAGAGGCAGGTTGTTAAAACACCTTTTTATTCCCAAAACACTTTTGTACCCACTGTGCATTACAACTTGTGATTCTTATTGCTTCACAGGGTAAGTGATGTTTATACTTGAGAAATTAAGATGGTAAGTCAGTGACTTTCTCAGTATCCTGTTGACAGCTAAGGATTTTTAATTCTTTGTTTCCTAATGCTTATTTTCTCAGCAGTTTGGATACTTTAATGACTAAATTAAGGTGATAGCATCTTGGTAAGTTTAGTGATGAGTTTGATAGCTACATACACATGGCCCCCTATATAACCTGAAAAGGCCATCAGGCTGATCTTCTTTGGAGAAGAGTACTTCATTAAAACATGGACCAGGCTTCTTTTCTTTGTGCATAGTTCCATGACTCATTTTTCCAGGAAAAGCCTGTGTCTTATTCAGCGAAAATACATTTGCTTTTCCATGAGTCTTGAGTTTTACTCATGATAGACAATTTGGACAGATATTGCTAAAAGCTCTAGTCAAGGCAGAAGGCCTTCCATGTTAGAAAGACTAGTCCAGAGAGAGTATTTGTGAGAGAAGCGTAAGGAACAGTGGGAAGGCTTTTTTGGTAGGACTCTGGGCCCTCAGCAGCTTCTCCAGGAGGGCTTCCCTTTTTGTCTGTTTTATATATTGGGCTTTCATGGAAGATTCTATTTGAAGAAAATGTAATAAGGTGATTGAAAAGATATGAGAGTTGACATATAAACAGAATATTAGACTCCTAGACATAGCTCTTTTTATAAGGTGTTTAAATATTAATGAATTATTTACATAATAAATATTTTAAAGACTAATGTAAGCAGCAGCTACAAAGTTGCCTCATTGAGTACACTAGTCAGAGATTGAGGTGAGGGTTCTAGTGAAGAATAAAAATGACATTAGCAAGTGGTATGGTGCAATCTAAGTTGAAATGAATGCTGTCAGGATTTTTTTGGTAACTACCTGGATATTCTCACTTAACTAAATATAATAGTTTAAAATTAGACTGGAAGGTTCTCTGCCACTTTTTATTGGTGACACTTTGGACAAGTATCAAACTTGTCCAAAACTTGTCCCTGAAACTGACCTGTAAATATAGAGTAATATTTCACAAGGATGTGTTGCAGGTTGAATGAGTGATAATGTATGTAACACGGTTCTGTTGCAGAGTGTTCAGAATTCCTTTCTTCCTTCCTTTTCACAGAGACTGTGGTACATAGTAAAGTCATGATCGTTTGGTTTAACTGACAGTCTAGAAATTGTTCCTGGGCTCAGCATTTGTGTTCTGATTTTATTATTCTTATCAGGAAAAGCAAGAACAGATAAGAAATGTGTATTCCGTGTTGTTTGTATAAGGTACAATGTAATAGTTAAGAAAAGGGGATGTAAATTCAGGCTCTTTAAAATAAACGTGTATGGGCCAATAACCTTCCTCTCTCACCATCAGTTATCTCATCTGCCTTGAAATGTTTATGTTAATAGTACCTTACAGCATAGGGTTCTGTGAGATAATGCATATAAACTGTTTAGGATATTGCTTAATAATACTAAAGACTGTGTAATGGTAATTGCCATTTATTCAACAAAATATGTTTTAAGCATCTACTTTTATCAGATTGGGTTCCTCTATCTCTTGGTGTAGCTATTTCTGCTGGAATTTTTGAGTTTAGCTCCACATGTGGACTTCCTGAGTTCCAGGGTTTTTTTCAGGTCAGATCGAGCCTGTCACATATTTGTCTGATTTGTCTGATTTGTCCCCATTATAGAGAATACATATAGGTGGTTGTCACATGCCTTTTACACTCTCTGGCCATGGGTTCAAACTCAGAGAGGTTTCTGTAGGAACTCTAATCCTATTGGTTTTCAAATGTGTAACTTCTTTAAAAAAAAAAAAGTGTAGCTTCTTTTATATTGTAATGGAAAAAAGAAGTGTATCTTTTCAAATTGAACTGAAGAGAATTGCCTATTAATTTTGCGAGGGCACAAAACAAGGGAAGCACTAAACCTGACACTTACTACATTAGATTAGTCATCTTCCCACTGATTAAACTTGCCCATTTTATATTCCTTAATATTTGAAGTTGGGGTGAGGACAGGTCATCTGGCTCCTTTCCTTCAACGAAATATATTTGACCTAAAATCAAGCTTGCGATGCAGGTAAACCAAGCACATCTTTCTGATTGGTTGAAAGGAACCCTTTATCAGTTCAGTTCAGTCACTCAGTCATGTCCAGCTCTTTGCGACCCCATGGACTGCAGCACGCCAGGCCTCCCTGTCCGTCGCCAACTCCCAGAGTTTACTCAAACTCATGTCCATTGAGTCAGTAAGCCATCCAACCATCTCATCCTCTGTCATCCCCTTCTCCTCCCGCCTTCAATCTTTCGCAGCATCAGGGTCTTTTCAAATGAGTCAGCTCTTCGCATCAGGGGACCAAAGTATTGGAGTTTCAGCTTCAGCATCAGTCCTTCCAATGAATATTCAGGGCTAATTCCTTTAGGATGGACTGGTTGGATCTCCTTGCAGTCCAAGGGACTCTCAAGAGTCTTCTCCAACACCACAGTTCAAAAGCATCAATTCTTCACCGCTCAGCTTTCTTCACAGTACAACTCTCACATCCATACATGAGTACTAGAAAAACAATAGCTTTGACTAGGCAGACCTTTGTTGGCAAAGTAATGTCTCTGTTTTTTAATATGCAATCTAGGTTGGTCATAACTTTTCTTTCAAGGAGCAAGCGTCTTTTATTTATTTTTTATTTTTTTGCAAGCGTCTTTTAATTTCATGGCTGCAGTCACCATCTGCAGTGATTTTGGAGCCCCCCCCCCAAATTAAAGTCTCTCACTGTTTCCACTGTTTCTCCATCTATTTGCTATGAAGTGATGGGACCAGATACCATGATCTTAGTTTTCTGAATATTGAGTTTTAAGCCAACTTTTTCACTCATCAAGAGGCTCTTTAGTTCTTCTTCGCTTTCTGCCATAAGGGTGGTGTCATGTTCATATCTGAAATTATTGATATTTCTCCCGGCCATCTTGACTCCAGCTTGTGCTTCATCTAGCCTCACGTTTTGCATGATGTACTCAGCATATAAGTTAAATAAGCAGGGTGACAGTATAAAGCCTTGACGCATTCCTTTCCTGATTTGGAACTACTCTGTTGTTCCACGTCCCGTTCTGACTGTTGCTTCCTAACCTGCATGCAGATTTCTCAGGAGGCAGGGCAGTTGGTCTGATATTCCTATCTCTTTCAGAATTTTCCACAGTTTGTTGTGGTCCACACAGTCAATAAAGCAGATGTTTTTCTAGAACTCTGGTGCTTTTTCAATGATCCAGCAGATGTTGGCAATTTGATCTCTGGTTCCTCTGCCTTTTCTAAATCGAGCTTGAACATCTGGAGGTTAATGGTTCACGTACTGTTGAAGCCTGGCTTGGAGAATTTTGAGCATTATTTTACTAGCATGTGAGATGAGTGCAATTGTGCAGTAGTTTGAGCTTTCTTTAGCATTGCCTTTCTTAGGGATTGGAATAAACACTGACCTTTTCCCGTCTTTGGCCACTACTGAGTTTTCCATATTTACTGGCATATTGAGTGCAGCACTTTCACAGCATCATCTTTTAGGATTTGAAATAGCTCAACTGGAATTCCATCACCTCCACTAACTTTGTTTGCAGTGATGTTTCCTAAGGTCCATTTGACTTTGCATTCCAGGATGTCTGGTTCTAGGTGAGTGATCACACCATCATAGTTATCTGGGTCATGAAGATCTTTTTTGTATAGTTCTTCTGTGTATTCTTGCCACCTCTTCTTAATATCTTCTGCTTCTGTTAGGTCCGTACCATTTCTGTCCTATATTGTGCCCATCTTTGCATGAAATGTTCCCTTTGTATCTCTGATTTTCTTGAAGAGATCTCTAGTCTTGTCCATTCTATGGGTTTTCTCTCTTTCTCTGCACTGATCACTGAGGAAGGCTTTCTTATCGCTCCATGCTATTCTTTGGAACTCTGCATTCAAATGGATGTATCTTTCCTTTTCTCCTTTGCTCTTTGCTTCTCTTCTTCTCACAGCTATTTGTAAGACCTCTTTGCTTTTTTGCATTTCTTTTTCTTGGGAATGGTCTTGCTCCCTGTCTCCTGTACAGTGTCATATGAACCTCCGTCCATAGTTCTTCAGGCACTCTATCAGATCTAGTCCCTTAAATCTATTTCTCACTTCCACTGTATAATTGTTAGGGGTTTGATTTAGGTCATACCTGAATGGTCTAGTGGTTTTCCCTACCTTCAGTTTAAGTCTGAATTTGGCAATAAGGAGTTCATGATCTGAGCCACAGTCAGCTCCCGGTCTTATTTTCACTGACTGTACAGAGCTTCTCCATCTTTGGCTACAAAGAATGTAAGCAATCTGATTTTGGTGTTGACTATCTGGTGATGCCCATGTGTAGAGTCTTCTCTTGTGTTGTTGGAAGAGGGTATTTGCTATGACCAGTGCATTCTCTTGGCAAAACTCTGTTAGCCTTTAGCCTGCTTCATTCTGTACTCCACGGCCAAATTTGCCTGTTATTCCAGGTATCTCTTGACTTCCTACTTTTGCATTCTAGTCCCCTATAATGAGCATCTTTTTTGGGTGTTAGTTCTAGAAGGTCTTGTAGGTCTTCATAGAACCATTCACTTCAGCTTCTTCAGCATTACTGGTCGGGGCATAGACTTGGATTACTGTGATATTGAATGGTTTGCCTTGAAAACGAACAGAGATCATTCTGTCATTTTTGAGATTGCATCCAGGTACTGCATTTCAGACTCTTTTGTTGACTGTAATGGTTACTCCCTTTCTTCTAAGGGATTCTTGCCCGCAGTAGTAGATATAATGGTCAATGTGAGTTAAATTCACCCAATCCAGTCATTTTAGTTCGCTGATTCCTAAAATGTCAATGTTCACTCTTGCCATCTCCTGTTTGACCACTTCCAATTTGCCTGGATTGATGGACCTAACATTCCAGATTCCTATGCACCATTGCTCTTCACAACATCAGACTTTACTTCCATCACCAGTCACATCCACAACTGGGTGTTGCTTTTGCTTTGGCTCCATCTCTTCATTCTTTCTGGAGTTACTTCTCCGCTGATCTCCGGTATCATACTGGGCACCTACTGACCTAGGGAGTTCATGTTTCAGTGTCCTGTCTTTTTGCCTTTTCATGCTGTTCATGGGATTCTCAAGGCAAGAATACTGAAGTGGTTTGCCATTCCCTTCTCCAGTGGACCACGTTTTGTCAGAACTCTCCACTATGACCTGTCTGTCTTGGGTGGCCCTTTATGATATGGATGAATATGATGTGGATGAAGCCTTTGTGATGTGGATGAATTTGTGTCCTCCTGGTCTCACTGGTATTGAAGCCTTACTTCTTTGAAAATAAAAATAACCTTCATGAAAAAACAAGGGCATTGGGAAATACTGAATTGAACGAATGTGGAGTGTTCAAAGAAATATGGAAATAAAGCCTGGCTCTGTTTTTCATTCTCATTTTTTAAAAGACGTTTATGATTTAAATTGGGGCTTACCAGATGCCTCAGTCGGAGAAGGCAATGGCAACCCACTCCAGTACTCTTGCCTGGAAAATCCCATGGACGGAGGAGCCTGGTAGGGTGCAGTCCGTGGGGTCGTGAACAGTCGGACACGACTGAGCAACTTCACTTTCACTTTTCACTTTCATGCACTGGAGAAGGAAATGGCAACCCACTCCAGTGTTCTTGCCTGGAGAATCCCAGGGATGGCGGAGACTGGTAGGCTGCCATCTAAGGGGTCACACAGAGTCAAACACGACTGAAGCGACTTAGCACAGCAGCAGATGGCCCAGTCATAAAGAATCCACCTGCCAATGCAGGAGCCATGGGTTCGATCCCTAGGTTGGGAAAATTCCCTGAAGGAGGAAATGGCAACCCACTCCAGTGTTCTTGCCTGGGAAATCCCATGGACAGAGAAGCCTGGTGGGTTACAGTCCACAGGGTTGCAAAGAGTCAGATGCAACTAAGCACAGGCATGATGGTTTAATTTATCCTAGATTATCTTTGAATTTTAGAGGTGGAAAATGACTGTTCATAGTATCTAAATCAATCAGTTTGTTTTCAGATGAGGAAACTGAGACCCAAAAGGTGACTTGGCCATGCTTGATTTTGCATAGATTAATAAACTAATGGGAAGGAATAGGCCAAGACCTAGATAACCTTAGGAACCATTATTTTTCTTACCATCCCATATCCCACAGCTTTTTTTTTTCCATGATTTTCAGTATTTGAAAAGTTATTTTATTACTAATTCTGGTGAGTTTAAATGTGTTTAGTTTATTTTAAGGGGGGTTAATTTTTTTTTTAATCTCATTTTGTAATGGGTTTTGCTATGAAGAAAAGTTGGGCTCATTTCTGGAGTCTGAACAATTACTCAAAATGTGGGAAGTTTCGCCCTCTAGTGCTCAACCAGCTAAAATACAACCATTTGTCCCTGGATTTTTTTTTTTTATTAAGGGGGCCTCCTTACAGGAAGTAGATGTAAAAATAGAGGCGATGAGTAGGTTTGATACAGTGTGAGAGCCTGCAGAGTGTGGTTTCTCTGTCTGCCCTGCTTTGTGGGAGGCCTCAGTTCACCCTGCTGGGTCTTTCTCTTTTTGTGTATCTACAGGTTCTGTTAACAGAATCTGTTAACAAAATCCGTAGTCAAAAGCTTCTGGTGGCCTTGCTGTTTGACTTCATTCTTTTAAGGATTATTTCGATTGCTGTGTATCAACTCAATTTTATTTTATTTCTATCTCTTGTCAGGGTGCTGCCCCTTCGCATTAAGTGACCTTATTTCCAAAAACTGCCTTCAAAGTACAGTCTGTAAAGTTGCCTTTTCTGTCTTCATCTACACTGTAGAGTACTATTCACTCTTTTCCATGCAAATTTCCTATGATAGAGGCGACAGTTAAAGTATTGTGCTTTTGTATTTTGAGTTACCTGAGAAGCTTTTCCTGCCTCCCTGATTCTGTTGGGTTTTACTTTCTACACAAGGAAGACAAAAGTCAAGGTAGCCCCTTATTTTTACATCTCTCATTTCTTCTGATAAAGCCCCGAACTTGATTCTGAAAAATAAACACATAAAATGTCTGAGATGAATTATAATTGGCAAATTAAAAGTGGAAGAATGTGCTACTTCTGTTGCCTGACAGCCAAAGAATATATAGGATGTTTTCTGAGATGTAGTTACAGTTTGTTAATTAACTATTCTGCAGTTCTTTATCATCCTTATCATCCCAATTTAAAGAAAAGAAAGCAAAATCCAGCAACTTGTTTTACATTCTAAGCTCCCTGAATGCAAGGATACTGGTTAATGTGCCCATAAAGGGCTCCTTAGTAATACATTTTAGGTTTTTCTTACGGTGGCTGTGGTACAAATGGAACGGAGCTAAGGAATATGCCTTGATGATCACTTAAATTAAATTTAATTTTAAGTGTCAAATGAATAAAAAGCACTAGACTACGTATGCTGGGCTTCTCTGGTGGCTCAGATAGTAGAGAATCTGCCTGCAATGTGAGAGACCTGGGTTTGATCCCTGGATCGGAAAGATCCCCTGGAGAAGGGAATGGCGACCCACTTCAGTACTCTGGTCTGGGAAGTCCCATGGACAGAGGAGCCTGGTGAGCTACAGTTCGTGGGATTGCAAAAAGTCAGACATGACTGAGCGACACACACACACACGTACACACACACGTATGCTAGGCATTCTGCAGGTTGTGTCTTTACACACACACACACACACACACACACACACACACGTATGCTAGGCATTCTGCAGCTTGTGTCTTTGCAGGCCTAGCCAGAATGGACTGTTTTCAGCTGCTCCATCTGCTGCTCACTTTTCACAATGGTAACCAAAGAGCAGTTGTAGCCCATGCACTAGAAATAGCATTTGTTATTTCTTACTTTCAGGAAGTATCTTACTTTCAGGAAGGTGACAGCATCGAGTGAGTAGTTAGTTACTCACTGTTCAGTGATTTGGACTGGGTTTTAGTTTAGACTTGCTCTTTTCACTTGGTATTTACTTGCCAGTAACAGATCTAAGCAAAGGAAGTACATGCTGTTTTTGGTTTTGATCTAAAATACCACCCCTGATTTAGATATACAGAGGATTAGTAAGCAGAGCGTTTCCAGAGAAGACGGGTTTTTGAAGGGATTACTTGGGTTTGCACCCCTTTCTGCTTTAATAACTGCAAACATAACATGTGATCTGTCTTCCCTTTTAGAGCAGAGCCGACGCGATGATTTGGAAGCCCTGGGCCATATGTTCATGTATTTCCTTCGAGGCAGCCTTCCCTGGCAAGGACTCAAGGTATCCTTGGAAGTGCTTAGTGGAGGGCTTTGCTGAAATACTTAGCTGATAATGAAAGGGGTGGCTGACTTAATGCTATAAGAAGCACAGAGGAGACAATCAGCTCTAGAGATGTGAGGCAGGAACTACATTAGTCTGTAATGTTAATACTCACCTGGGCTTGGGAAGCTTTATTTTCCCCACATTTGTCTTCTTCCCCTTCCAAATCCTTCTTCCTTGTGTTAGTAATTTCTTCCCTCATCCCCTCCCAGCTTTGCCAGTGCTGCTTTTCTCTCTGTGTTGATATTCCTTCTTCACTACCACTGTGTAGCAGGAATAGTGTTCCCAGTGCATTGGGGAATTTATGGAACAGATTGATGACAGCAACTTCTACACATTTTACTGCAAGGCCAGCAGGGTTAGATGTACCCGTAACGGGAACTGGGAAATACATGTTTGTCCTTTATAGGCCAAGAACCCACCTGAACTAAATAAAACTCCAGGTTTAATATTGCTATTCAGGTGTTTTATTGAATAAATGCCTATGCATACAATAGCTATTCCTTGTGAAATGAGTAGTTTAAATACCCTTCCTTAGGTAGGTGTCAATACAGTGCATTTGTGTCAGGGTTAGCTATTAATTATAGTTACAACCATTGTAATGATTACCCTGTGCCTCTAGCTGCATGGACTAGGAAATGGTGAGCTTCTTACCCATTCTAAGACCCATTAGATAGCTAATGCAAGACTTGTTTGAGTTGTAATTTACTTCAACATGTTAGTATGGAAAGAAACTTTATCAGTAGCTTTGGGTACCATACAGTCCCTCCCTCCCTCCCTCCCAGAGGCCTGAAGGATTCATTTTGCTGTGCTTTCTTGGACATTTGTGCTGAAAAATGAGGCTCTTATCCCTTTCCTTTGGGAGGATTTTATTGCTTTCCCTTTAAATTCCTCTCCTAACATCTCTTCCATGGTCTTATCCTAGTTGCATGCCTTCTCATTGATATTGACAGTTGTCAAATAGAGTTTCACATCCTATTTGCTCATCATACAGCCAAGCAATGCATTCTTGTATTATTAATTGCTTGAAATTTTCTCATGACCCATGAATCATTTTAGGGTAGTTGTAGATTTAAAATGTCACCAGCATAACTTCAAAATGTAATTGCTTAAAGCTGGGGTCAGCAGGCTAGGTAGACCCTCATGCAGATCCCTTGAGGCCACATTATTGGTCCACGCTCCAGAAGCCCTCTGTCTGCAGTCTTAAGCAAGCCAGACTTACTACTTTGAGCCACTGACATACAGCGAACCTGTCTGTTAGCCACGCCTGTATCATAGCTAAGTTTTCTATCTACTTGCCCCCATTTGGATTAGCAATATTTTTTTTCTTTTTTTTTTTAATTGAAGGTAATCGTTTTACAGAATTTTCTGGCTTTCTGTCATACATCAACAGGAATCAGCCATAGGTACACTTATATGGGTTAGCAGTATTTTTAATCTTTTCTAGAGCTGATCAAAGAATGAGAAGGTTGAATCGCTTTTGAACCCTAGTGGCCATGGGACATTACTAAGCTGCTACAGTTTTGAATTTATTTTCTTATCCTAGTCTCTCATGCCATTGCATTTGATGGTGTTTATCTGAGACTACTAAATATATTTGCCAGTAAAGCTTTCCAGAACAGCAGATGTTCTGTGCATGTCTAAATGTATCATCTCTAGTACATTTCTTTTTTGTCAGTATTAGAAAAAAATCGAGACAATCTAATAAACCCTGACAGTTTGAGTGAAACAGTCATAATGTCCCCAGACATATTGGACCTCCCATACTTAGCACCTCTTTCCAAGTAACTTTTTCTCTTTACTCTCTACAGGCTGATACCTTAAAAGAAAGATATCAAAAAATTGGTGACACCAAAAGGAATACTCCCATTGAAGCTCTCTGTGAAAACTTCCCAGGTAGGATGCCAACAGGACCCTCCAGCCTAGTGCTACTGGAGCTTTGAAGGAGGTGGAAACCATGTCTTACTTAGTATCTCTAGATAAAGGTCCTCTCCAAAAAATTTACATTTTCTCTTATTGTTATTTAAATCAAGATAGATTTTTTCACTTTGATTTGGTCCATAAAACAAAACAAAGCACATCAGTGGCAAATATAGTCTGTGCAGGTACTCCTTGCCTGGTCCCGAGCTTCTCCCCATGGGAAGCATTCAGCTAACAAGCATGGCCTTTAACCTCTTTCCTAACAGAGGAGATGGCAACGTACCTGCGATATGTCAGGCGATTAGACTTCTTTGAAAAACCTGACTATGAGTATTTACGGACGCTCTTCACAGACCTCTTTGAAAGGAAAGGCTACACCTTTGACTACGCGTATGATTGGGTTGGGAGGCCTATTGTAAGTATCTTATTTCTCCCCCCTCCCCTCAGACCAGCACTGTCTCACCCCTTGCCAGCCTTTCTGCCTATGTCTGTGGGAAAAAAGCATTCCTTTGTAGACTTTCCATTTACCAGCCTTTTCAGGGTGATGCCATAGATTGCTGTCACTAGAGCAGTAAAGGAGTTACTCCTGCCGTGTTTTTAAGATTATGCCCACTGTGACCTAAGATACCAGAATTTAAGTCAGATTTTTAAAAATTATTTACTTTTGGCTGTGCTGGGTCTTCTTGCTGTGCGCAGGCTTTCTCTAGCTGTGGAGAGCAGGAGCTACGCTCCATTGCGATGCACGGGCGTCCCATCGCAGTGACTTCTCTTGTTGCGGAGCATGAGCTTTAGGGCGCAGGGGCTCAAAGTTGTGGTGCGAGGGCTTAGTTGCCTCACGCTGTGCGGGATCTTAGTTCCCAGACCAGGGCTGAGCCTGTGTCCCCTGTTTGACATGCAGATTCTTAATCACCAAACAAGTCCCAAGTCAGTTTTTAAGAAGAAATTGAGTTTGAATGATCCAGGAGCTGGTACTCCATAAGCTGTTAAGGTACCTGACTTCTGTCGGACTGGAGCTCAGTGCCTGAGGAAACTTCTGAATTTGCTGTTATGGTCTACAGACCAAGACTTGAGGGAATGCTAACAGTCGTCACTGTGGGATATTCTTATTCTTTTCAAAGACGTGCTCCTCTCCAGTGAACTATTGAGGACCAAACTGTCTCCCTTTTGTAAATAAGCAAACTGAGAAGGCAAGATTTGAAACTGGCCTTGGTTGTAATGATAATAGTAATAATAATGACAACTATTCTGTTAGAATTAGAATGATGCTATCCTTTGCAGAGTATTAAGTTGGACCTATTTTCCCCAATTGACTTTTTGTTACATTTTTCCAGCCCACTCCGGTAGGGTCAGTTCATGTAGATTCTGGTGCATCTGCCATAACTCGAGAAAGCCACACACACAGGGATCGGCCATCACAACAGCCTCTACGAAACCAGGTATGTGTTGGACCTTTATTATTTCAGAAATCCCACTTCTTCATGACTAATATTAAAACCCAAATTCTTTAGCTTCTGTCTTAAGTGTGTATACTAAAATGAAAGATAAAGGGCTTACTGTTACTCACAGTTGTGGTACAGCATTCCAGCATCCCTCACGGTTGTGTAAGCCCACTGAGATGTGGCCAGATGTCTTACATAAAGCATCCACACTAGAGAAGCAGGGCCTGTCAGAACCTATTGGCTGAAGTGGACAGTTTTCCACAGTTCCAGAGATACTGGATGGATAGCCAGGTAACCCACCTTGGGTCTCATCTGTAGTCCAGTGTGGAGCTCTCACCCCAGCTAGTTTTTCCTTGGTGATTAAGAAGGGTGAGTAATTTGGACTTCCAGATGATGTAGGTGTGAACTGGCACCTCTACCCCACCTCTGACCTTGTGTCCAGGTTAATTTTATAGCCTGCCAGAATCTGGGCCTGTAGTGAAGACACAGCTTTGCTTTAGACCATTCCAGAGAAGGCAATGTCATCTGTCCTTCAGTGTTCATGGTTTGGGAAATTAGTGGTTAAATGAGAGGTTTCTCTTAACCTAAAGACAGAGGAGGCAAACACACCCCAAAAAAAAAAAATCAAATTTGACAGCATTAAAGAAAGGGATAACTGACTGAGAAGTAAATATGATAAATCCTTATGACATATGTATTGTTAAGAGAAAAATCAGTACCTCGATAAATAAGAAGCACTGAATAATAAACAGGTACATGCACATAATCATCACCTATCAAATTAGCTTGTTTACCTTTATCCCTGACTTCAGTGTTTTATATTCACAGACATTTTTACAATAAAATGCAAAAATCACTTCTCTCACAGATGTACCTGTGAAAGTATGTAGGTTAAAAATAGTATGTAGAATCCAGGTGCCCCCTCCAAAACAAAACAAAAACAAAAAAAGTACTATATTGAGGTATATACACACACACATACATACATATATACAGTGAAGTACATACACAGATACAGATAGACTCACCACCAAGTACATACTTTTGGCAAAATGTGTGGCATGTTGGGTAAGAAAAAACGTATAAAGGAAAGAATTCTACATATTAGTGAATAAAGGAGAGAGTAGATTGGCAAAAAAGATGAGATTTAGCAAACTGTCCACTAGTTGGTTCTAGAGTTAGAGACTTTAATCAGAGTACTTGGCTAGTGATTCTCTTTTGAGTAACTTGTGATCTGACAGCAAAGCACTGTTGACTTCTGCAGTGCTCCCCTGCTGCTGCCGCTAAGTCGCTTCAGTCGTGTCTACTCTATGTGACCCCATAGACGGTAGCCCACCAGGCTCCGCCGTCCCTGGGATTCTCCAGGCAGGAACCGTGGAGTGGGTTGCCATTTCCTTCTCCAANTTGTCTAGCCACTTAAAAAAATATTTAGGAAAACTTACAACAACCTGAAAAGGTTTTATGGTTGTATAGTAAAGAAATCACTGTATAAAATTAGAAATACTTCATGATTCCCTTCAGGGGAAAAGAAAATGAGGAAGTCAGTTGGAGGCTGCTGCTGCTGCTAAGTCGCTTCAGTCGTGTCCAACTCTGTGTGACCCCATAGACGGCAGCCCACTAGGCTCCTCTGTCCACAGGATTCTCTAGGCCAGAATACTGGAGTGGGTTGCCATTTCCTTCTCCACAATTGGAGGAGATAATACCAAGATATTAAGAGGCGTATGGTTGGAAGTCATAGTGCTGTGGGTAATATTTTTCCAAACTATGCTATAATGAAGTTATGTTACCTTATAATGAAAAATACATTTAAATAGTAAAGGTATGAAAGAAATTAAAAAATGTTAGTCAGGGAAGGCATAACATATCTGCCTGCTTGCGTTTTTAGAATATTTGAAAACTAATATATGTGTTTCCTTTAGTTCCCCTTGTCATTTCTGCTTCAGTGAATTCATAATTAACGTTGCTCCTTTGAATGAATTTTAAAGGTATAGGTAAAAGAGGTGGTTGAAAACCTACATTGCCAGGATGGAATATGAGGTCATACCTAGTGTCTGAGTAAAAAGTACAGTGAATTTCAGTGTACTTTAAGTGAAAGGTCATTAAACCAGATTATGTAATTAAGAGATCTCCTGTACAATACAGGAACCTTCTTTTTGTAGAGTTGAGTCTTAAAAGCCTGTGTGATTTTTTTTTTTCTTGTAGGGTTTTTCATGTCCCCTGGCTGCTAAGAAATTTCCCATGTCAGTGCACATTTATATCTTCTTTCCAGCAGAATTCTGAATTCTTGCTGGGTAGAATTCCCTCTGCACTGTGGGTAAATGGATTTCTAGTGTCTGTTCAACCTTTACACCGTGTCTTAGTGTGTGGTCCCATTGCTTTTGTTCCATCTTTAGGGCTGTTTCCTTATGCTTTTTTTTTTAAGACTAATTCTTTTCAAGTTTTGAAATCAGCAAAAGAAGAAAAAATCTCTCCTTGAGAGAGATTGAAGGTATTTACTTTAGGGACAGCTAACCTTTTTTTTTTTTTTTTAGCAATTTTGACTTAGTAATCTAACAGAAGACTTTCTATGAGAAAGTATGTTCTGCAGATACCAAAATATGTAGGGAGTCCTTGTCCTAACAGAACTGACAAGCAGATGACTTATAACAAGTAGCCAGATGACTTACAACACAAGGGAAAATGAATGATGTATCTCCAGGGATTGGAAGAAGAAGACTTTTCATCTGGTCTGAGCATGACAAAGAATTTGATGAAAGAAGCTGCACTTGAAAGGCTCTTGAAAGAACTGGGTAGAAATGAAAGAGGCATTCCAAGCAAAAAGGAAATACGAGCAACAGTGAATTATCTAGTTCCATTTTGCTAAAATATATTCTGTGAATAAAGGAGACAAGGCTAGGAAAATAGCTTGGAGCCATTGGATAAATCTCCTAAAATATGAGGCTGCTGGAGAGTTAGTATTTAATTTCAGTAGAGAATAGGTACTAGAGTTTCAAACTGAAGAGTGATTAGAGCAAAACTTTGCTTTAGAAATCTTTTGACTTGTAAGGTGATAATAACCTAGCAGCCAGTATGGAGACCAATGAAGACAGTAAATTCCCTTGAGAGGTAAAGGTGGCCTATATAGACTATAGTGATGAAAATGAAATAAAATTGAAAAATAATGCAGGGAAATAATCTGTCAGAATTAGGAGCTCACACGTTGGTCAGGGTTGAGGGAGAAGGATGAGGCAGAGCTGGTGCTGTGCTTTCCAGCTGAAGGTGGATGGCAGGCAGAGAGGACGGCTCCCAGAAGAAAACCTGAGTGATCTTTGGAGATGACTTTGATGGTAATGCCTGAAGAGCCTGCTTATTCTGAGTAAATCTGCCCATCAGTTGTGTGGTAGGGGAGTGAGCCTGGGATTAGCAGTCTTTGTTTAGTTATCTACTTTGAGTAGAAGAAGGATGAGAAGCTCAGAACTTGCTTTTAGCTTATCCCAAGACTTAGGCTATAGGACATTTAAGCTTTTGGGGGCCTCAGCTTCCACAAATGGTGAGTCTTGTAAGGACAGAGATTTTCGTTGTTTTGTTCACTACTATATCCCTAACACCTGAAAGAATGGAACAGTAGGTACTCAAGAAATAATTATTTGAATGGTAAATGAATTTTAATCTGTCAGATGAGAAGTTTAGATGAAATCAGATGTTTGTTTAAAATATAGATTTTTATTTACCCTTCCAAGAAAAATAAATTTTAAACTTTTCTTTCTTCTTGTTTTTTCTGTTTCCACCAAGAGTCATTCTGCCTTGTTTGGCAGTCAGAATAGGGCTAGATTGTCTGCTCAAGGGGAAAGGTTTAAAGAAACACATCACCGACTTCTGTAGTGATCTAATGGTTAAGAATTCACCTGCCAATGTAGGGGACACAGTTTTGATCCCTAGTCTGAGAAGGTTCCACATGCCGTGGAGCAGCTAAGCCTGGGCTCCATAACTCCTGAAGCCCACGTACCTGGAGCCCTCGCTCCACAACAAAAGAAGCAACCATAGTGAGAAGCCCACACACCATGACAAAGCGTAGCCCCCTCCTGCTAGCATAGAGAGGTATCCCCCTCTCTGCCACAACTAGAGAAAGCCCAAGCGCAGCAACGAAGACCCAGCCATAAATAAATAAATAAATAAATGTTTCTGAAAAAAACGAAAAGACACAACAGGCTTTTGCTGCAAAGCAAGTTCAGGATAATGTATTAGTTCTCTTCCATCACATTGGGAATTTTTTAGAGAAATCTTGCTTTGCTGGTCTATAATGTAGTTATATTGAATTGAATTGAATACTGTTTGGTTCCTAGTTGCAGTAATAGATCCTAACCATGATGGCCAAAGAACTGCATTTAAACTCATCTATGTTGGATCTGTATTTTAAAACTATCTTAATACCAGATGCTTAAGAACAATTTCTTTGAACGTTAATTTACCCAGCTAGAGAATTGTAATTAAATTATGAGTTTGGGTAGAATAAATATTGCTGAAAGCTAAATCCATTCAAAAGGGTCCCAACAGGTTAGTCATTTCTGTAATTTTACTCTGGGTATTTGTCCTTCCTCAGTTCCAAAGACAGTCAGTCTTGCCACGACTCAGGTTCCTCTTAAAGAACTCAGCATTACCATTCATTACCATTCCTAATGGTAATTAGGAAGACAATGAAAACTTCTAATAGTTCTGCGTGTTTCTACCTGACAAAGCTTCCCTTCGATTTGCTGATGAAATTCGATCAGGAAGTAAGTCCTGCCAGTATCCAGACAGCTTCTATTAATGTGCAGTGTGTGGTACTGTTGAAGGTTTAATGCAGTGTGTTTTTTTGACCTGCTGAATAAAGCATATTGCATTGACTGGCATGTGCGTGCAGCAGCACACATCCTTTCACAGCTTACACCCTTACACAGGTAGATGTTAGGCAAATATATACTTCTGTGGTTCGGCAGTTTTGATAGTTCACTTTTTCTCCCATAGATCCCTTTTTTGGT